GCGTGGCCCTCGAGGGCAGGAAGACGGAGCCGCGCAGCCCGGGGAGCCGCTGCTCCGCCAGGAACTCGAGGCCCGAGCGCAGGGCGCGCAGGTCGGAGCCGAGCTGCAGCCACACTTGCGACACCTGGGGGAGTGGGTGACTGCCTACCAGACCACCCCAACCCAACCCAAAGACCACAATCTCGGGTTGGGGGGGGGAAGGGTTCCATATGTGTTTTTTCAATGTTCCCCGACCCCCCCCAACTGGAAATGGAGGGCAAATTGAGGCCTTCGGGTTGGGTTGGGGTGGTTTGGTGGGTGGGGAGTGGGGGGGGGGGGGCAACGATCGGGGGGGGGGGCGGAATGGCACAGGAGGGGATGCATCGACCTGGAGTCGACGATACATCGCCGATAGATCGGCGACAGGCCCACGATAGTGAGTCCGCACCTTCCTGGGCGGGTTGGGCCTGTCGGACCCCTATCGGCGATCAATGGGCGATTGGGGGCCGATGCATCCCCCCCTATGCCTGTCCCCCCTATCGTTGCCCCTAGGGGAGCATGGCTCCGCGTTAAGTCATGTTCTCCTCAGGGACGAAGAAAGGCATTGCGCGAGACGGCGTAGCGACATTACGCGGTGGACCACGCGGGCCGCCAGCGCGGCACGCTGAACCATCGGAAATGATGGCGCTTACGCGCGACCTTACGCGGGTTTTGCGGGACGCTTTCGCGCCAATGTCGGCGCAGACGATCCCGTTTTTCTGAGTCGCTCACTCGGGGAAGCAATCAAGGTCCAGGCACCCCCTCGGGTGTGAGTCCTGACCAGACTTCTGAGAACACAGCCGTGGCAGCGAGAGCTCTCTAGGACGAAAAGCGATCCACGACCACCGACGTCATGATGTTTTCACGCGGACGCCCCGTAGGTCTCGACCCGTTCCCAACCGATCAATGCAAATCCCGGGGCCCGTCAAGGGCAGGTGGAACCAACATGGCCGAAAACCTCCCGTCGTGTTTTTTTCTCGCGTCTCGAGGGGTACTCGAGTATCCGCACCCCCTCGGTCGGACCTTGCCTTTGCAACGAATGCGATAGAGACCTCGCCCAAAATCACAGCCAGAGCCCTACGGACCGCATTTTTCCGCAGAGCCCTTCAAGACGGATCGATCCGCGAGGGCCCTGGGGCCCCAGAGCGATAGCGACGACCCTCGGCGCGAACCAAAAGTGCAGCGCCCGGACCTAAAGGCATCCTTTCTCGGGCGGGCGGAACACGTCGGCCAGAACAAGTGAGTGAGAACATGAAGTAGGAGCGCGGATGGTAAAGTTGGCTGGGTTCACGCCCACTCAAAGGAGAGCACACGCAGCAAGAGCATCTCGATAATTGAAGTTGGAGGGCGCTCGACGTAAATCGGGATCCGGGAATCCCAAAACATCCACTTGCAGCGACCGGCGTGCAGAGGGGGTCGACCGCCGTGGGGGGCGACCCACACTGGGAGCGAAGAGAGGGGTCCCAAAGGGAGGGGCCCGGCGGGGCCGCTCCTGGGCCCCCGCGGGCCCCCGAAGGGGCCCCGAGCGGGCCCTTTTGGGTCATTCCCCCCCCCGATAAGACCAACCCCCATCTGGCCATCGCTCGGACGTCCATTCCCTGTGTGTTTTCTCCGTTTCGTGCGTGGTTTTTCCGCCAAATCATGAAGGATGCTCCTCGATGGTCTTGGCCGAAAGAAAAATACACACGTCCGAACGATGCCAAGCCATTACCGCCCGCCCCCGCGCTTGCTAAAAAACAGCGGTGTTTCTAAAATCCCACCAGCCCTCTGGGCGCTGTTGGTCCAGAGCGTTTCCTTTTCCAACCTCCTTCCTTTCTCGGTTCGGGAGGTTTACCTCCGCCCCCTTTCCCTGCGTCTGGACGGGACCCCCCGCGAGGTGTCAGAGGGCCCTTTTCGGCCAAAAATGGTTCCAAGAGGGCATCAGAGAATTCGAGATGGCCTCCAAGATGGCCAGCTATAGCAGTAGATGGCTCAAAATACCCTCCGACACGCATCCAAGAGGCCTCAACACGGCCCCAAGACGGTCCCAAGTGCCCTCCGAACAGTCCGAGGACCCCCCCAAGAGGACAAAATGCATCAAAAACCCAAGGATAATCAATGTATGTTGCCTTCTCGGCGTTTCGCATCCGATAAGTTTTTGAAGCCTCAAAATGGCCCCAAGACGGCCCAACATAACCCCACGAGGGGCCCAAAAGGGCCCCAAGACGGCCCCAAGAGCGCCCAAGAGCGCTTCAAGAGCGGCCCAAGAGGGCCCCAAGACGGCGCGCTCGAGCCTCCGAGGGGCCGATGGGAATTATAACGCCCCATATGTTTGATCCGCGCGGCCTAAGACGGCCCCAAGAGGCCTTCCAGACCACCCCCGAAAGCCTCAAGAGGGCCCCAAGACCCCCCAAAAGAGCCCAAACAGGGCCCCAATACGCCCCAAGAGGGCCCCAATAAGGCCATAGGAAGACCTCGAGAGAACTCCAAGAAAGAGCCTCAGGAGGGCCCCGAGAGGGCCCCCCCAAAAAACCCAAGAGAGCCCCAAGATGGCGTCAAATTCCGAAACGCACGCGGATTTAAGCTACAAGTCAGCGCGACAGCCATCACGGGTCATCAAAACACCCTTTTCACCCCTCATCGAAGCACCGTCGTAGCTGGCACCGATTTCCATCTGAAACTTCAATGCGGGAAGCTATTCGCGATCCTTGCGTTCCCGAAGACGGCTGCGCGACTGCGTGCGTCTTGCCTCCCCTGATTCACCAACTCCCCTGCTGATCGTTTCTGGATGGGCTGGTGGGGAAACGCGAAGCGTCAAACATTAATGGGCAACTACGCACGGAAAGCCTGAGAGCCCAGGCGCCGTGAAATCGGTGAAATTACGCCCCCGCTGTCTAATCACGCAGGCGCCATTCGCTGCACCAGAGAGGTGTCGCGCAGCACACGCGAACCGCAACTGCGCGCGCCCGCCCAGAAGGGTTCCACCCCAGACAAATCGAACGCCTCGCTTGCGAGTCGACGATGCAACCCCGCCGAACCTGCACATCTCCGACGCCGCCTCTGCGACGGCAGCGGCGGCGGCGACGCGGCGGAAGGCAGATGGGGGGAGGCAGAAGCAGTAGCGCAGCCACTGACCGGAACGACGGTGCCAGGAAAACGCCGACGGGGCCGATGACACCCGCGCGCGCGGAAAAGGAAGGGGGGGCTGATGTTCGACATTGTCTGGGGACCACCCAGCACTTCTGCGATCCAAACTCTCACCTGGCTGCTGTGCAAAACGTCCTGCGGGCCCCCACGCACCGATGACGTCGAGAGCATGCCGCCGCGGCCCGCGCGGCTGCCGCCGCTGCGAATTGCGAGTAAGCCAACAAAAACGCCCCCCAGGCTGCCGCCGACGACGTGGACCCCCTGTTCCTCGCCCCTCCCCCCGACCCACCCTTCCCAACCCCCTCCTCCCTCTCCGATCGCGCCCCCCCAATCCCCTTCGCGCGCCCTTCATCCTGCCCGCCGCCCTCTCCAATTAACCCCGTTGTTCCCCCTGGCCGTCTGCGCCGCGACCTCCCGCGGCGACCCCAAATCCACGGCGCCGCTCGCGCCCCGCCCAGGCCGCCAGCGCCTCTGGCAACAAACTCGACGGCCCCCAACATGATTGCAAGATGGCCACCGCGACCCAGGGCGGCTCAAGAAACCCCCCCGGCCCCGCGCCAGACGCCAGCACGATCGCCACGGGGTCTCGATCGGCACAGCCCCTGGGCGGCCGCCATTTGTTTTGGTGCGTTCGAGGGGCCCCAATCGGAATACACAAAAGATGCAACAGCAAAATAGGCCCCGCATTCGCAATCCCTGGGTGCATTTTGCGCGCCTTTTGAAACGCATAAAATTAAGCGGCCGAGATAGGCGAGGCGCCCACTGGCTCCGCGCGCGCATTTTTCGCATATGGTTCGTCTATTGTTTTCCTTTTTTTCTCCTCGGGGGGCGCTTAATTTTTCCACGAACAAATGCGTAATACATGCGCGAAAAGAAGCCCGCCCCGACGAGTGAAAATGACAGAACAATATATACGAAACGATATGTCCCCAAGGGCAGCCAGCGGGGGCGAGGTAGAATAGCGCGACGCCCCCGGGAGGCCCGCGCTGGAACGCGGCTGCCCCATGGGGCCTCGCCCCCCCCCCCTGCCCAATCCTTGGGTTGAGAGCCGAGCCGCCCCCCGACGCCAGGCGCGCGGAGGGGCGGGCGGGGGCGCGACGCCAGGCGAGGGGCGCAGCCGCGCGGCTCAGCAGATGACGTCTGCGCAGCGCCCCCCCCCCCCCCCCCGGCAGCGTTCCCAAGAAAGTTTCGCCGACATGGGGCGGTGCTTAAAGGGCAATGGCCCTGCGAGAAAAAGCCGCGGCCCCGAAGGGGGCCCCAGCCGTCGCCCCTGGTAAGGGGCCCACCAAAGCTCCCAACGGCAGCGGCCGCGCGCGGTGCCCGCAGGCCCCTCAAACATTTGCCCCACCGACAGCCGCAATGGCAGAGGCTGCGCGCCCTACTTGCACACCCCTCGCACGCTTCGTGGCACCACGGGCGACTCCGTCGAGGCCGCGGCAGCAGCGGCCGCGCGCGGCACTTGCACGCCCCAAGCCCCGTCAAAGGCCCAGGCGGCATCCGCCGCGCGCTGCTTTTGCGCACCCCTCGCGCGTTCGATGGCCCGAATAAGGAAATCCGCCACAAAGGTCCCAGCGTCAGCGGCCGCGCGCGTACTTGGGCACCGCTCGCGCGCGTCGTGGCCCCGTGGGGACCTCCGCCGAAAGGCCCCAGACGCAGCGGCCGCACGCGGCACCTGCAGAGCCCTCGCGCAGCTCGCGGCTCGACGGGGACCCCCCGCCGAAGGCCCTGGCGGCAGCGGCTGGGCGCGGCAAATTTGCGCAACTGTCACGCGCGTCGTGATAGCCCCGACCCCGCCGGCACCGCTTGCGCGGCGGCCCTGGTTGATTTCGGCGCGCCCCTGTCACGCGCTCACTAGTCTCCACAGAAATTCCACCAGAAACTGCGATCAGAACAGCAGATGGGCGGGCCCTTCGCGAATAATTGGTTGCACCGTGCGAATACATGGCGCGCCCCCGCGCGAGAGACCCCAAAAACGAACCGTGGAAGCGAATCTCGCGCGCCGCTGCAGGACGCATGATCGCCTTGGGCTGCCATGACAATCGGCTTACCTGGCAAGGCAATCGCTTCGCGCCGCAAACACCGCTTGCGCTTGGAGCGCTCATGCACTATAACGTTATATGATTCATCTTACATATGTCGGATATAGGTTGCGGTTTACCAATTATTGTAACCTAGTTTACGGCCATTTTGAACTTATCCAACATACTAGCAACTCTCCATACTACTTTCACACTAAGTTTAAGAAGCGCTCCCCCCTCCCACCACTGGGGAAACCAAAAGTACTGACACTGCTAGCCTTCCCAGAACTCTCCCGGGGTGCATTCTGACTAGAATCTCGCGGCGCATCCAGCGGTGGCGACGAGGGCCTCCGAGGAAACCCAAACCGACGACAACGAGAGAAGGGTTGCGTATTGGTGATGCGTTGCCTAAAAGGGACGCCAGCGAATGGGACTTCTGAGACCGCGGCTTTGCATCTGAGACTTCGAGAAGTGCGAGTGACAGCGTCATGCGGCGACCCTGTGGGCGAAGCCGAGCGGACTTGAGAAATCGGCATCGCCCGTCTCTAAAGGCCTCCTCGATGGGGTCGGAGCAGATGGGGTCGGAGGATCACGCCGCATCGCCGATACGTCGGGGATACATCGCCGATGCATCGGCGGTGCATCGGCGACGTCGGCGATGCACCGGCGACGCCAGCGTGGAACAAATCGGGCTCTACATCGGCGATGCGGCGCGATCCTCCGACCCCATCTACTCGGACCCCATCTAGGAGGCATAGAGTCTCAGAGTTCCTTTCCCTGGGGTCACTTTCGGAACCGCATGTATCGGTACGTTTTCCTCCTCCGACTTTCCTCCTCCGAGCACCAGCCCAGTGCGCAGCTTGCGCAGCAGCCTCGCCCTCTCCGGCCCAGGCTCCTCGAAGGGGCTGAAGGCCACCCCGAGCGGGGGCAGGCCGCGAGCGCCGGGCGGCTCCAGCGAGAGCTCCTCTCGGGTTGGGCGACGCTGGGGGGGACACAACGCCCAGGATTGTCCACGTGCTCCATCTCTTCTGGGTGTTCGTCTCCCCCTCCTCCTCCTCCTCCTCCTCCTCCTCCTCCTCCTCCTCCTCCTCTTCCTCCTCTTCTCCACGTGTTCCATCTTTTCTGGGTGTTCGTCCCCCCCTCCCCGTTCCACGCTTTCCCTGTTCTCCAGAGCATCGCCGATCCTTTGCGTCTGTGCGCTTTCCTTCCCGATGGCACTGGGGGGTGACCTTTACGGGCGGGGAAGGCAAGGGCCCCTTGAGGACCCATTCCTTCGCCCCCAATTTAGATCACCCCACACTACCACCCGCCCGATCCTCCAGGCAGGCGCACGAGTCTGGGCCCGACCTCCTCTGGGAGGGACTCGGCTTAAAGAGGAAGCAGCAGGCCCATGCCCCCTCGAGCTTGGGGAACTCCTCCTCCTCCTCCTCCTCCTCCCCCTCCTCCCCCTCCTCCCCCTCCTCCTCCTCCTCCTCCTCCTCCTCCCCCTCCCCCTCCTCCCCCTCCCTCTCCTCATCCTCCTCCTCATCCTCCTCCTCCTCACAATCACGGCGGGAGGTGTTTCGTTGTTTTCAGCCTCTGGTGGCCCTCGTCGGGCCTCGGGACGGTCGAAAAACGGCCCCAGGCGATACCTCTTAAGGGTCGACGTGGGACCAACTACCGGGGGAGGGGGAACATCGACATGGAAAATCGGCGACACGTCGCCGCCAGAGCAGGGGTCGACGTGGGACCAACTCCGGGGGGAGGGGGAACATCGCCTTGGAACATCGGCGATACAGTCGGGGCCTTGACCTAAGGAACCCTAAATAAGGAACGAGGCCCCTCTTTCCCATACGTTCACCTTCGATTTCCAATGGAAAAGCTGAGGACACCCAAGGCAGACTGTAAGACAACCACGGAACACCGAGCCCCTCCCCAACGAAAAGGGTTCCTTATTCATCGCCCCGACTGTATATCGCCACCAGCTCGGCGATGGGCCCCCGATTGCGAATCTGAACGCAGCTGGGCAGGCTGGGGCCCTCGAGCCCCCCGCGGCGAGGCGTGGGCGCTGTGGAGGTCGACGCGCCCCCCCCCCCTGAGCCGACCCTCCCGAAAGTTGCCCCTGGCCGCTGCACGTGCACCACGTCGCTTGGTCGCCAAGGGAGCTCGGTGTTGAAGGGGCCCTGGGACACACAAATAAATACACACAAATAACCGGAATCCCCTTATTTTCCCATATTTTCTAGGTTTCTGCCTTCCCCCCCACTTCCCATATTTTCCTATATTTTCTGAGGGAATCGACGATTACTTGTGTCTGTGTGTTTTTGACCCCCCCTGAGGTGTGTAGACGCCGCAGCTGCCCAACCCGCAGGCCCAGGGAACGCCCACACACCCTGGGCCCCGAGAGCCGACGCTGCGAAGCACGTGCGAGATCGGGAAGAGAGATCACGGCTGGAGCCAAAGGGCCCCGCTGGGTGGCAGCACCTCCCGAGCCGAATCGGCCTGTGGCGGTCGTCCGGCGTGGCCAATCCGAGCCAAGCGCCCGGCCCTCGGGGTACACCAAATTCCTTCGCCGAGCTCCCTGGCTCGGCGGCGAGCCCAGAGGGGGAGGGGCAGGTGCGGAGGGGCGGGCGCTCTCTCGGAAGGCTCGGACGCCCTCGGGCCTTCTTGAGGAGTGGCCGAGGCCTCCCCCGAAGACGCAGAGGAAGAACTCCTCGGAAGGCGCGGGGGCTTCTGAGAAGCCCCCGCCGCCTTCTGAGGAGGCCCCCTCTCCTTCTCGCTTCCCCCCCTCGCTCGCCGCCCAGTGGTTCCCTGGCCGACCCGACGACGTGGTGCATATACGCCGAGCCGCCGAGCCCGGCCGCGCCTCCCGGTCCCGGAGACCAGCAGCACGCTGCACCCGGGGATGCGGCTGGCCTCTGCGCAGAAGGCCCGGAAGGCCTGGGCCCCGCCGGGCTGGTACCTGTTTTATCGGCGGTGGGCAAACCTCCCTTTAGTAGGCCTCCCCTTCGTGAAAACGGCCTGGGACCGAAACCGACGGACCTGGACCCGCAAAAACGACGGCCGCGACGCCCTCTCGCGAACCGCAAACGGTCAATTCCTTAATCGACGTGTCAGGGTAAGAGGTCTGTCCATCCCCGATTTTAGGGGAAAGAGAACTATGCACGTATTCTCCGATTCTGGCCAGGCCCACCCTGAGCCCAGGATCGGTGCACACGCCATCCTGCCCTGGCCAGGAGGGCACATGCACCGATCCTGGGCCCAGGACGGGCCAGGCCAAGATCGGTGCATGTGCATAGTTCTCTTCGCCCGATGTTTGGGCGCCCGGCGTGGGCGCGGAAAACATCGGGACGATGGCCAACGACAAACGCTGTCCACAACCGACAGCGGCCGCTGTTGGGCGGGCGATTGGAGGTCTCCAGTGAACAAGATCCGCGGCGGCGCGGACAGGAAGTCTGGTTCAAAATGAGCATGAACTGCTGTTCGGCAGCGTACCACTTGTGTCCGTCCCCATTTCGATCGTCCCGGACCTCCCGACCTCTGAGGTCAATGGAGGCCTCGGGGATCGGAGGGACAACGGAGACAACGTCTGCGTTCCCTTGCGATTCTCGTCCGTGTGGGGTCTCCTTAATGTTTCTCGCCGGCACGGCTAAATCCGTCTTGGCAGACGGGTCAGGGTGAACCCTGTTTTGAAATCTACAGGCCCCCAGAGGCGCCCAAAAGCCTAGATCTTTGAGAATATCCAGGTAATCCGCTTTTCTTCGGAGGGGCGCCCACGTCGATTGGTCAGCCAAAGAACTGAAAAACTCGGCGAGATGATCGGATGCCTATAGATGATGCTACAGCCCCCCGCAGCTTTAGGAGCTCGTGGGCCTACACGCCAAACTCCTTGGCAGACTTGACGACCTGTCGCACACTTCGAGTATCTCTGCAAATACCACCGCGGGCTTCGCCACCGTGCCCCCGGGCACGGAGCGGGCGTACTCTCACAGGTCATTCGCCGAATCCCCTAAGCTTCAGTCCTCGATCCCGAAGAGTCTTCAAGGGGGTCCACCTCCGACTTGCCGAGGTGCTCCGCGTCGGGTTAGCGGGGTGCCGCTTTCCGAATTGGCCTCACAGCATGCGCGTCGACATTGCTTCATCCGCTCCACATTAACGGAGCGCCTTTTGCTTCACTCCGAGTAAGTACACGCCGCTCCGCAAAATGGCTTCAAGCCAAGAGATACGATTGCGTCACTCCCACCAGCGGAGCGCCTATCCGCTAACTGGCCTCAGGCAAGAGAATTACAACTGTTTCGCCCCCATTGGCGGAGCACCGCTCCGCGAATTGGTCTTCAACTGCAAGCTTACGATTGCTTCGCTACCAAGCGGAACGCCGTCCCGCCACCTGGCATCACGCCGTGAGATTACGATTGCTCCGCTCCCACTCACGGAGCGCAGCTCCGCTAATTGGCCTTGGACTCGAAACAAACAAATAAACTGTGCTCCGCTCCCGTTAGCGAAGAGCCGCTCCACGAATTGGCTTGACACCAGAGGATCCACAATTGTTTCGCTTCCATTAGCGGAGCGCCGTCCGTTATTTGGCCGCGAACCACGGGATTGGCAAATTGCTTAACTCCCATTAGCAGAGCGCTGCCCCGCTAGTTGGCCTCAAACCAGACGGCTACGACTGCTTCGCTCCTATTAGTGGAGCACCACTCCGCGAATTTGGCTAGAACGAAGAGGGTGCCATTTCTACGCTCCCACTAGCGGAACGCTGCTCCGCCACTGGTATCAAACCAGAGACTTTTACACTTGCGCTCTCCCATGAACGGAGAGGCTCCGCTAGCTGACATCAAATGAGAAGATTACAATTGCTTCGCTCCCATTAGCGGAAAGCTGCCCCGCCAATGTGAGCCCCGAGCCAAGGGATTACGACTGCTGCTTCCCCCCAACTAGCGGAGAGCAGTTCTGCTAATTGGCCCCACGCCAGGGGATTACGATTGTTTCGTTCTCATAAGCGCAGCGCCACCTCGCTAATTGGCAACATGCCACAAAAGGCTGCGACAGGGGATTACTATTGTCTCGATGCGAGGAGAGGCGAGAGAGCATCCCTGATAACTCTGACCCACAAGCCACGAGTCTCATATCCCTGATACCGCGGGATGGGCCGACCGAAGGCCATTGGATTAGTGTTGCCTTCCGCGGGTTGTTTGGTCTTGTGCCCTTGCTGCTATTCGTTCTTGCACAGGCTTCCTCGGGGCGCGTGGTCTTGATTCCTCGCTGTATTCGAAAATGCCTTCTTCGGGTTGCTTAGTCTTGTTTCCACATGCGTCGAGAGGGAGAGTGCCAAGCAATACCAAGCAATGCAGAAGCCACGCCAACGCCAGGCAACGCCAAGCAAAGCAAAGCAATGCCAAGAAACACAAAGCAACGCGAAGCAATTCCACGCAACGCCAAGCAATACCAAGCATTGCCAAGCAAAGGAATCAAAAGTAATCAACGCCAAGCAGCGCCAAGCAATGCTGCGCAACGCCAGGCACGTAACACCAAACAACGCCGGGAAAAGCCAAACAATACCAAGCAATGGCAACCAATGCCAAGCAATGCCGCTTAGGAAGAGTTCCCCACTTGGGGTCGCGCAAGGTTCATCAGGGTAATGAAGCGGAGGTGAAAACGCCACTCGGAGCTCGATAGCTGTCTAGGACACTCGAGCCAAGCAGCGAATGCTAATACGGATCCTCCACGGTCGCTTGGCGACCGATATTCTGGCGCTAATCTCATTCCCCTCCCCCTCCACCTCTGCCTCTGGGGAGACCAACAAGTACCAATACCGCTGCTCACTGAACCTCTCCCGGGGTGCCTTCTCACCAGAATTCCGAGGGAATCCAGCGGTGGCAACGAGGGCCTCCGAGGAGGCCCAGAAAAGGCGAACATCTGGCGTTGCAAAACAAAAAAAAAGAAACATCGCAAAAATCACGACCGGACCCCCAGACCCCATCTTCCTGCGTCATGTGTCGACCTGGATCGATATGTGAGAGCCTGGGGCCCGAAATTGAACGACAAAGCCGGACTCGGAAAAACGGAGTTTCCAGGATCTCAGGGACCTCCGCCTCCTCATCCTCCTCTAGAGGCCTCCTAGATGGGGTCGGAGTAGATGAGGATCGCGCCGCATCGACAATACATCGGCGATGCATCGGCGATGCATCGCCGATGCGTCGGCGGCATCGGCGATGCATAGGCGACGCCAGCGCGGCGAAAATCTGGCTCCATATCGAGCAGCATCAGCGATGCATCGACGATGCAGCGCGACCCTCTGACCCCCTCCACGCTGACCCCATCCGGGAGGCCTAGATCCTCGGCACTTCAGGCTGTAGTGCAGGCACACCTCCGCGCCCGGCACCTCTCGGGTCGGGCGAAAGGGTGGGATAGCAAAGGGGGGGGCTTGAGAATCAGCTCACGTAGCTGATTCTCCCGGCGCCTCCCGGCGCTGGAGGCGGCTATGTATCGAGGAATGGGCCCCTCGGTGAGGCCGAAACCAGCTGCATGCAGCAAATTTCGTAACCCCCCCTTTCCCAATCCCCCCCTTTCGTCCGGCCCGAACCTCCTCCGCAGCCGCCGCGGCCGCCTGCAGCAGCTGCCGCGCCTGGCCCGGGCGCTTGTTGGGCACGTTGAGGCGGAGCCCCGCGCCCGCGCACAGCTCGGGCGCCGCCACGTCTCGGAGGAAGCGCAGCACCCGGCGGAGCTGCGGCCCGCTGTCCTCGGGCAGACCCCCCCGCTGCTCTATGGGCACACGCAGATGTGTATATATATATATATATATATATACATACATTTATATATGTGTGTATTGTACGATCTCATAAACATATTCCATGCGCTTAAATGTATGGCATTGATATATGTACGCGTACGTGCAACAGTATGTCCTATCGTTCGCTTCCTCTCTCTCGCTATCTCTGTGTCTGTGTACATACCCTGTGCACACACACACACGAGCAACATGAACGCATGTACCCGTCTGCGTGGCCAGCAGTGCACAGATGAAACCATGCACGCATACGTCGATATCTCAATGTGTGAACGGCATATGGATGCGTATGTGCGAAAAGCTTTGACCTATTCGTGCACACAGTCGCACCACCCTACACATAATAACACACGCGTGTGTTGTTCAACGCGAGCACGTATAGCCATGTACATACATATATGTTTAGAAAATGTACCCTCTCTACATACGGTTAACTACGCAGATGACTATAGCTATCATCATCTCTCGTTCTCGCTCTCTCTCTCTCTCTCGCTCTCTCTCTCTCTCTCGTTTCTGATGTGTTCCTCTAATTCTAGATGTCTCCATATATCATGTTATCTAATTTCACGGGTATAATGTCACAATACGTTTGTTTAGCAACATGTATGCTTATGTTTCCCCTCGGCAGTTTCTTGTTATGTTCACAATGAGCGCCATCGTCGTCGTCGCCATCACCAGCATCATCACCGCCACCACTGCCATCGACATCAGCAACGACCTCCTCCCAATCATAACCGATCAGCATGATCCCCCTTCCACGTCTTCTCTCCCCATGCTCTTCTAAAGTCACCCAGGATCATAAGGATGCGCAGTAAGGATGCAAGGGCCTTGGAGGCCCATGTGAACGTTTTTCGAACGAGGCTGGCCAGCGAAAGCGGCCAAGGATGGTCACAAGGGGCAAGGATGCAAAGGTACCCTTGGGAAGGTCGCCCATCCTTACCTTGCGGGTTGACTGTAATCCAAATCGACCAGCCACGTCTGCTCTCCACATTGCTCCAATATGATCTCCCCATGCAATCCCTACCCGCAACCCCCGCTCATCCTGAATCCTGCCTCCGCCTGCTGCCCCGTTTCCTCCTGCCTCCTGCCTCTCCCTTCTTGAGATCTGCCTCCACAATTACACAATATGAAAATACTCTCCCACTTCCCCTGATGGCGTCCCGAAGATATCCGACCCCCCCCGCGTATTGTTTTTTACACACAGGATTCCCGGGAAACGGGTTTTCGCCTGCGTGTTTTCAAAATGCTGCTCTCGCTGAGGCGCTGGCCTCATTTCTGCTCCCGAATCGTTCCGAATCGTGCTCCCGCTGCAGCGTGGGCCTCATTTTCGGATCGGTGTTTGGCCTCCGTCGTTTAGGATGGCGTTCTCGCCCCAACGCGGGCCTCTTTCTCGCGCGCCCATCCGCCCGCCACCACCGCGCCGCACCACCACCACCACCACCACCACCACCAGCAGCAGCACCACCACCACCACCAGCAGCACCACCACCACCACCAGCACCACCACCACCACCACCACCACCACCACAACCACGCACACACGCACGCACGCACGCACGCGCACCACCATCCACTACGCACGCGCGCGCGGAGCCACAGGTCCGCTACGACACGCGTCCGCGGATAGCGAAAATCAGCGCCATGGTAAGGGATGGGAGGGAGGGGTAGGACGTCAGATATGACGCGAGCGCACCTAGCTTGCCCTCACCCCCTCCCTTTAGGAACAAGGAAACTGATACCACCACTAAAAAAGGGCGAGGAGACGCGAGGAGGCAAGGGAGGCCTCCCTGGTGGTGTGGTACCCCCTCTCGCTCGAGGCAACCCCAGCCTCCAACTCGGGGAGGCATCGTGGACCTCCTCGCTGGAGGTGGGCCCCCTGGAGGTGTTGGTATCGCTTATCTTCCCTCCCGTCCCTTTGCATCCTTCCTCATCATCCCTCTTCCTCCCCCACGCGGAGATCGACGATGCCGCCGCCAAAAGAGCTGCGTGGAGCGGCCGACCTGCACGCCCGAGTGGAAGCGGGCAGCGAACGACGTCGGGCAGGCGCCTTTCCTTCTGCAAACGGGCAGGCGCTCGCAAAGAAACCGACAGCGATCAACATAGCGAGACGGGAAATGCCCCTCCGTCCTCCCTCCTCCGCCCCATCCTCCTCCTTCCTCCTCCTTCCTCCTCCACCTTATCCCGTCGCAGACGCAGGGGGACGACGATCCCGACGCCACCGCCGAAGGCAGCAGAAGGACCGCAGAGGGCAGCCGAATTCACGGGAGGGCCAGTTGAGACAACATCGCCTCTCCCGCCCGGCCCAAGTCTAGTCAAAATCAGTCCCCAGACCTTACCAGCCCCGAACTTATCCCTATCCCCAAGATTGACACGCCAGAGGGCGATGACAATCTTAGGAATGCGCCCTGAAAAAATAAGGGAATCCCTAAGATTGGCATCGTGATGAGGAGATGCCCAGCATAGGGATAGGGATATGTTCCAGACTTGTAAAGACCCCTCCCGAGGTCAATCGTGACCCGCTGATGCAAAACAGTCCTGGCCCGAGGCCCGAAAAAAAACGAGACAGCGGCGGGGGCAGTGCTGCTTGCTCGACCTGCACTCGCCCGCGGAACGCCTCCGATTGACGAGCGGCGGACATTCCCACATCCAAGCCCTCGCGGTCTGGACTCGGGTTGGCCTCACGGGGCCCTCATAAAAATGACGAGACCAAATCTAAAACTTGACGCGAACTCCCGCCGCAGGCATCCCACGAAACATGCACCGCCAAAACCCCGGACGCGCTCGCCAAAGCACGCCGGCAGATCCGGGTTCCGGCTTACTCCAGTCTTACGCTTCCCCGAGATGCCTCTCGGGAGCGGCCAAGAGGGGGGTGTCCAAGAGGGGGGGTGCAAATCATGACCTGCGGCATGTGCGCGGCCCAGCGGGGGGGCCAGGGACGTGATGAAACAAGAAGGTGCGCCCTGAAACCTGGGGAGATATCATGGCCGCCGCCATGATATCCCCCCCCCCTAGTCATCACCCCCCTCTTTTCCGCCCCCGAGCCACGTGAACTGCGACTGCCGGCGAGGGCCGGCGTCCCGGAACAGCTCGAAGCACGGGCGCGGCGGCGTCCCCGGCGGGCCCATGGCCCGCGGGCGCCCGCCGGGGCCCCCGGGCGCCCCGCGTGGGCTCTGGGAGCCTGCGCCAGCGGCGGGAGGGGGTCGTCGTCGCCGTCGTCGGTGCTCTGCACTGCGCTACGGCAGGGTGGGCTAGCGAGCCGCCGCGTCACGGTCGTCGTCGTCCTCCTCCTCCTCTTTGCTCTTTGCTACTCCTCCTCCTCCTCCTCCTCCTCCTCCTCCTCCTCCTCCTCCTCCTTCTCCTCTTTCCTCTTTCCTCTTTCCTCTTTCCTCTTTCCTCCTCCTCCTCCTCCTCCTCCTCCTCTTCCTCCCAGGCATCCTCCCTCCTCCGCCTGGTGCCTCATCGTCCTCCCTCCTCATTTCAGTTCCCCCTCCGCCCCTGTTCCTCCCGTTTCTCCTCAAACTGCTCCCCCTCCTCCTCCTGACTACCTACCAGACCACCCCAACCCAACCCGAAGACCCGAATTTGACCCCAATTTCGGGTTGGGGGGGGTACGGGTTCCATGTGTTTTTTCAACGTTCCTCGACCCCCCCACACTGGAAGTGGAGGGCAAGTTGAGGGCTTCGGGTTGGGTTGGGGCGGTTTGGTGGGTGGTGACCTCCTGCCCCTCCACTGCCGTGAGCGCGAGAAGGCCCCAGAGCGTCCAGGGGCCGAGAGGCGGAAAGAACTGAAGGGGCCCTGGGACACGTAGATAAATACACACAAATAAAATGCTCCCCATATTTTCCTATATTTTTGGGTTTTTTGTCTTCCCCCCCACTTCCCATATTTCCCCATATTTTCTGGGGAATCGACGATTACTTGTGTCTGTGTGTTTTTCCCCTCCTGAAAAAACAGAGGGGAGGGAAGCGAAAGGATCTCAGCCGCAGCAGCCGCGCGCACAGCCGGGGGGAGCGGGACACGCTGGGCAGGGGAGGCGGAGAAGCAAAGCGTGCTCGCCCCGGCCTGCGCGGCTGCTGCCGTCGACGTCGCCTGGCAGCGGCAGATGGGGCGGGGAAGCGTGAGGAGACAGGCGCGTTCCCCGACTCGCAAAGTAACTACAGTCGGGGCGTTGACCAAAGAAATCCTAAATAAGGAACGAGGCCCCTTCTATCCACAAGTTGGACTTCGATTCTCCATCGAAAACCAAAGGGAAGCCCAAGGCAAACTGTGAAGCAAACAAGGAACACGGAGCCTCGATCCGCCGCGGGGGGGGGGTACGACACATGAGATCGAGGCACATAGGCATCGCCGGACATCTGCGAGCAAGCACCCTTCGGGAGAGCGACCCGTGGGGAGCGACTGGTGGAGGGCGACCAAGTGGAGGGCGACGCAGGGCGACTGGTGGAGAGCGACCAGTGGAGAGCGACTGGCAGGCGACAGACACTGGCCATCGCTCGGACGTCCATTCCCTGTGCTTCTTTCGGTTTCGTGCGTGGTCTCTTCGCGAAATGATCAAGGATGCTCCTCCATGGTCCTCGCCGAAGGGCAAATGCACACGTCCGAGCGATGCCAAAGACAGCACCGGACACACGGCGACTGGTGGATAGCGCGCTCGGCGGGCGAGGACGGGGGGTGGTGCCGGAGGGCACCCGGCGGGCCTGCCACCCATCAGCGAGCGAAGAACGGTATAAAATAAACTTTCCGCCGTCGGGGACACCTGCTTCTGGGCGGCTGGAAAGTTTATACCCCTACGGTGCCACCGTAAGGCTATAATATTTCCAGCCGCCCTGGGGCAGGTGTCCCCGACGGCGGAAATGTTCTTCGCCCGTTAAACCCAAGCGATCGCCTGGCCTCGAGGAAAGGAGCCTGGCTTCCACCCTTTCCGCCCTCCCTGCCGGACAGGGCATGACTGCGAGATCATATGTAGACATGTAAGCCCACGATGTGCCCCACGAGATGTCCGATTCTGAAGACGGGCCGCGAACCATCCGTGCAGCGTTACTGCAGAAGTCTGCGCTTCTGGCCAAGCACCCCGAGCAGATCTCGGGCCACAACCCAATGTTGAAGGAAACCAGCCCCAATCCGCGCAGCCGCTACAGATGTTGAAATGCGGGTCTCCAAATGTAAGAATGCCTTTCGTGGGAGCCGCAGTTTTACAAGTGCTCCATATCCTCCTCCATCCTTGTGATTTCTGCAAACGTTCAAAACGAATGTGCGCGGCGCTACGTAAGGCGATTGCCCCATTCTGAAAAGGAACCACCTTCTATCATTGCAGCTGTTGGAATTTGAAAACAAAAAAACACGCAGCGCTAATGCGGTAGCAGCGGTTCGAAAACCCTCAACCTACGCAACCCTTGCAAGCTTGTAGTTAAGAGGAATGCACGCGGCGCTGAGACGACAGTGACAACCACCTCCTCAATCATCCCTATACAGTTGCACCTGTCAAACTCTAGGATCAAACACGGGAAGGACGTCCCAGGCGCAACGCCCGGCCCGCCCTACCCACACGTGTTGGGGCGCGACCAGACGG